TAAAATGACTACATAATATCCCATCTTCTTCTTACAAATCAGAAATTCTTCATTAAGAGTTGGCCCATTACAATATAACCCCTTTATACCATGTTTCAGAAATATTTTCAGTGAAATATTTAAAATATTTCAGAAACTTGAGCTTGAAATGTTATATATTTGAAACGTTTGAAATATTTCTGATACACTTCTGAAATAATGTTTGCTGTATGGGTATTGAGGCATAGAGTAAAGGCAGGTTATTTGGATTAAACATGCCTTAATAAAATGTTGCTGGGATTAAAGTTTATTTTCGTTTTTTGTAATAATTTCATAAAATATTCATAAATCGTTATCAGAATTGACAAAAAAACATAACTTTAGACAAGGAATATTATTTTACATATTGTTACAGGCATTACCACATGCGATTCCTGATGATGAAATTTGGTCAAATATTTGTTTGATGAAACTTTTTTGTAATTTTGGTAATGATATAAACATTTTTATTTAAAATTATTATACCTGTTTAAACTTGATAATTTCAGTCTTTTTCGAGAAAAACGTGTTGAACATTTCAGGAAAGGAATTTCAGAAGTTTCTAATTTTGTGGACATATTTGAAGTCTGGTTGTGGTTTGGCCCTTGAGGATAGGGCAGTTCGGGTTGGGATATTGAGACAAAACTTGATATATTTAATGTTAATGAATTTCCCATATATATGAAAATCATAAAATCCCGCCTCCCCTTCCATCCCCAAGTTGATATAGAGGGAGTATCAGCCTTAAAAAATTAAGTTACAATTTTTCTACATACATACTACACACAATTTCAGTTTTTTCTTTCTTTTTTATGGACCGTCATAATAATAATAATAATAATAATAATAATAATAATAATAATAATAATAATAATAATAATAATCTTTATTTCAAAGAAAAAGTTGACAGATAAAAACAAATATTTATAACTGACAGCACAGAATGAAATGGTGTCCAAAGCAAAACAATTTTTAAATTAAATTAGAATCTAAATATTCACTAATGGTTCTAATTCCATAATTAGTTTTTTAATTTCTTTTTTAAGTTTGTTATTTAAGAAACAATTTTTTAATATTAAAGGTAGTTTGTTGTAAAATTTTATTGCGATGTAGTATGCAGATTTTTCAGTGATTTTTAATTTATGATATAGATAATTTAGGTGATATTTCCTAGTGTTTTAGTTATGAGAAATTGTACTATTATCAAAAACGTCTTTGTTTTTATTAAGATACATTAAGCATTCGAAAATATACAGTGCTTCTCAAAAGTCCCTTCCCCCTATTTTCTTTTGAAAGGTGATACTTAGACTAATGAAATTTGGAGGTTGAAAATGAACTATTTTAAGCTTCTCTACTAGTGGTAACAGGTGACGTGACGTAATAGGCATCGCTGAGGTCACCAGGCAACTGAAACCAATAATATTAAATGTTAGAATACCTATTCAGTCATACTATATTTTTTTTTTTCTTTTTACGATGTTTTTGATGGTTACAATAAATAAACACAAAGTATTAGTTTCGCTTTTAATTAATAAATATTTAAGAACAAGTTCTTATAATAATTGTTCAAAATGTGCTCCATCTACTTCCTGCAGTAAAACATCCTATTATTAAACTCTTGTCGGACTCGATTAAATGTGTCAAGGGAAATTGCCCTACATTCTTCAACATTTCGTTGTTTTAAAACGTCAATACTGTCAGGAGCTGTAGCGTAAACTTTAGATTTAAGATATCCCAACGGAAAAAAATCTAAAGGTGTTAGGTCCGGTGACCGAGCTAGTCATTCTATTGGACCGCGTCGTCCAATCCATCTACCAGGATATTCCTCATCTAGATAACGTCTTACTGCAAAGTAATAGTGTGCAGGTACACCATTTTGTTGGAACGATATTTCTAAGTTACCAAATTCATCTGGATTATCTTCTAGAATTTGAAGAATTAACGCTTCAATTGCGTTTTCTAACATCTCGAGATATACTTCACTGGTTAAATTAGTGTTCAAAAAAAGAGGCCCGACTATGTGGTTTCCCAAAATACCTGGCCCAGACATTTACTTTTAATGGGAACTGTTTGTTTTTCACAAAACATGTGAGGATTCATGTCACTCCAATACCTCACATTTTGAGTATTAACATTTCAATTAAGGAAGAAAGTACTTTCATCACTTAAACAAATTTTCCTTACATAGTCTGCCTGTTGGAGAATTTTAGTAAAGGACATATTTTCACAGAATTCCAGCCTTCGGTTGGGGTCGTCATCTTAAAGTTGATGCCCCATTTTTAATTTGTATGGGTGAAATTTGTTTTTGGTCAACACCCTGTGTACTGTACTATGACTGACTCCAAAGGTAGACGCTACTTGGGCTGTGGAAGAAGTAGGGTTTACTACAATTTCTGCAACTATATCAATTTGTTTATCAATACCAATATTTTGTCGACCCGATCGTTTGGCATCATGAACACTACCTGTTTGTTGAAACTTATGAAAAAGCTCCCTCTATATAGGGCGATTGGGGTATCTCTCATTAAAAATGCATTCATCAACTTCTGAAACCTCAAAATCATAAATTTCGCTTCAGTCTTGAACATTAAGTTTACTGATAAAATTATTTACACTTTCTTCACTGAAACATCTTGTATATATATTACTAATTGGTTTGCTGACTTTAATTTGAAATGTTATTATTTGTGCACTATGATCTGATGTATGAATGTCAATTACTTCAGTGTTATAATATCTTGAAAATTCGTAAAAATTTTATCTATACAACTTCTAGTATTGCTAGTTATTCTTGTATATTCGTGTATTACGTTTTACAGCCAATAATTTAGACTATATTGTTTTCATCTTTTAATTCAATATTGAAATCGCCTGCAATGAATATAATTTTTCCCATCTACAATTTTAGTTAATAAACATTCAAACCCTTTAAAAAATATATTTAATGTCCCACCACTCGGTCTATATACAGAAATAACTATAATATACATATCTGATAAATTAGCTTCTATGCCTGAGCACTCGAATTCACCTTCAATTGAGAGTTTATTTACATTTTTTAGAGACTTGTATTTAATATTATTTTTGCAGTAAATTGCATTTCCTCCATGCTTATTTTCACCACGACAAAAATAATCAGCTAGCTGATAATTATTTATGTTGATACATTTCAGTTGTTCAGTTGATTTCCAGTATTCAGTGGTACAAATAAAATAACATCTAGGATTTTCACATACAAATTTTTCAATTTTTTCGACACTATTACCAATAGATTGCATGTTTTGATGTAATAAAATTACATATTAATTATTTTTCTTTGACCTGTTGTCTTCATTCGGTGTTTTCATCCTTACGCCAATTTCACTATGAGCAATAGATGATGTTCTTAAAAATTTTGATATTTTTGGAATTTAAACCTTCTGTAAGTAACCGATTTTGGCCAAGTTGATGTTTGTAGATTTCATCTTGTAAGTCGAAATCGATCCCAAACATAAAACATTTGTTCTGAGATTCTTCCGTTGACAACTCTTTTACAATATCTACATTCTTAAAGATGTCTTAATTTTTTTATGAAATTTTGAATTTTCTATCTAAAAGGGTACAACCAAACTTTTTTCTTTGGACTCCAAATTCATCTTTCGTTTTGTTTTCGCCATAATTTTTCTTCATTAATTTTCTCTTCTTCCTAGTAACTATGGTAAAACCATCGTTATCATTAATTTGGTTATTGTTACTGTAATTTATGATTTCATTCATTTTTTCTGTTGTTCTAAAATTTTGTGATTATTTTGAAAGTCTGGAAGTTCATCATTTTTGGGTAGATTTAGCAACATTGGTAATTGTTGTTGGTTTAAATGGTTTGTGTTTATATTTACTCTCAGCTGGTTTTGTTGTTCTCTGGTTAATTAATTTTTTGTCATGTTCATTTATTTCTGGTTTTTTGTGCCTCTCATTTTTATCTTTTAAGGTGATTACAGCACCTCCTTATAATTTTCGGACAAGAATATCTCAAAAAGTAATTGTTTTAAAAAAATTATATTTTGGCAAAATAAATTAGGCAATACTAAATATGCATATTTTTTTAAAGTTTTAATTTCTTTCAGTTTCCGAAAAAAAAATCAAAGGGCTTTTAATTTTGAAATATAATGAAAATAAATGCATCCCTCAATAGCACTATTCTTATTATATGTATTTGAAAATTTGAGAACAAGCTTGACCGCCGTCGGGTTCAAACTGGCACATCAAATTTCTGTCTAGGAATCTCGACGGTCAATGTGGTGATGGTCTAGATTGTCTAGAATGAAGGGCAACCATACAAGGTAGTCCGAATTTTCAAATTACTTTCAGTCACTTCTTCAGATATTTCTCTGACTTTTCGGATTTCGATTTGCGATTTACGATTTTCATGACCTCACATTTTTAATAAAAAACTTTTAGATCACTGTTAAAATGATGTGATTACTAGAAATATGGCAATACAATAATAAATTATCAAAATATTTCCCTTAAACTCAAAATATTTGATAAAATTTGTTTATTTTTCTAAGGTTAAAACATTTGAGAACAAAATCATATCAACAAAAAAATTATATTAAAATCTGGTGTTGTACTTGCTTATTGTTTATTGTAAATGTAAAACAACAGACATTAATTATAACCCAAACTATACTTTGACCTAATAGCAAATTGGAAATTATTTATAATGAGGTTTAAAGAGGATTTTTTTTTTAACAAATGAATTTGCAAATTTACAAAATTACTATTGTTTGTTACTTGCTTATTCAAAAATGATTACGTAACAACCAGTTTATTTTCGAGGACAGGCAACACGATAATAATTATGATAAATAGCTATGCAAAATTTTATATTTTTACTTTTTATGTTTAATTTTTATGTATGCCGCTTTAATATTGATTAATTTTTATTTTACAATGATTAGTTATACTTAATGAGGAATGTTAAAAAAAATATATTGTTTCAGGTTGTGCATGAAATGAAATGTAAATTACATGGTCTGTTTCATCTATTAACAAATGGTATTTTTCAAAATATGGATAACAATGCTTGCACCTGTGATGAACAACAAAAAGATGCTGTAGAAGCTGGACCAAGTACATCTCAAGAACCCCCTAAAGATACAAGCAAAAAGAGCAGATTGAACTTTTTTAACATTTGCCGAGATAAATCACTACCATTTACTTCTAAGGTATCTATTTTTGTATATTTTTTTTTTTTTTAGCAAATTTGTGGTGTTTAAAATAATAAATAATTCTACTTTTATCACATATTGAAAATAGGAGGTAGATAGCAGCCTATTTGTGTAGCACTTCCGCTTTGATATCTTTTAGTTATGCAAGCTAGTTATTTTATCTTATTCTAAATAACAGTCTGTGGCCTTATTGCAGTTGTGAGGTTTTGAATATTGGAATTTTGCGGTAATGACTAAAACATTTTCAATTTCATAGTATAGGGAAGGAAATTGCATTTAGAATGGTTTTTGCTATTTTCTTAGAATAATGTTTAACTAATCACGCAAACGTGTAACTTTAAAGACTTAAAAAATATATTTAGAGGTCTGGCTATTTATTATTTCTTTGAATGATATTAAACTATTAGAAACGATTTGAATTTTCCATGCCTAAACTTTAGTTTCTGATTGGTTATTTGTTTTATTTTATTATTTCTGTAATTACCTATTATTATCCGAAATAAAATGAATCAATTCTTTTCAGTACTAACTAGGCGATTGTAATTGTTTTTCGTGCATTTTGTTTTCATTATTGTTAATCGAATAAATCAGATCTCTTCTGGACTAACTAGGCAATTATTGTTTATTGTTTTTTGTATATATTTTTTTTTTTTTCATTAAAATGGACATTGCTATTCCAAGCACCAGTTTTGTAAATATTTTGCCTACAAAAAGACGCAATTAATTGGATTTAGGTAACTTATCTTTGGCAGAAAAATAAATTATAATAAACTTGTAGAAAAAAATCTTAAGAGATGAACCAAATTTAAAAAGTGTATCAAAAATTTGGCCCTCTTAGTTTTAAACATCAACGCAGCTACAGTTGATGAAAAGTCCACAAGTGAGCGGTCACGCGATTTCCTAAAATTGCTGGCGCACCTGGCTCAGCGTTGCCAGACCTAATGTTTTAACAGTAGATCTACTGTTTTTAGGCATAAAATCTACTGTTTTCGTCAACTTGTCAAATTTTGTTCTTAATTTATTACGTTTGCCTCGTTCTTCAGCAAATGTATAAAGGATATTTTCTCAAGTAAAAGTTGAATGCAGCTAGGTAAGTTTGCGCCACAAAAAATATTTAACTTCCAGAGAAACATCATGTTTTGATTTAAAATGCAACAAAAAATTAATAGGGCATCATAAGAATGTGCATGACAAACACAACATATTTGAATTATCTGATTCAGACTGATCTGAAAGAAATAGGTACCTACTATTTTTCATTTATTTTTTTTAGTCTCTCCTGACTTTAAGTTTTACAAATTTTATTTATTTTATTCTTTGTTTAATTTCTAATTTGGGTATAAAAGCCAAAAATGTTTATTTTTCGTTTCTTATATAATTTTTTTTTTAATTTATTATACTGCAAATTATAATTATTTCCCCCTGTATTAAAATCTACTGTTTAGTTTCGATGATATACTGTTTTTTTCCCCACCTATCTACTGTTCCAGAAATTATTCATCTGGCAACACTGGTCTGGCTGTCCTTCAGTAGCGTGCACGGTCAGAAAAATGTTCTCAAAGCGTTTGTTAAACTTGTTTTTATTTTTCGGTGTTTCTGTTAAATTTTGAAACCTTTTGAGGTAAATGTAGATGCTAATGGATTGCAGGTTAATGATGATATTTACATTAATAATAAAATTCCAATAAATAATGAAATTCAGAATAATGATGAAGTACAATTATTAAATGCAGTACAAATTAATGATGAAATACGTAATCATAATAATGCAATTAATACTATTGACAATCAAGGTGAAACACAATCTTGGGAATTCAAAAATCAGGACTTACATATTCAAGTTCAATAGGTCATTTTAAAAATGTTTGCTTGTCTTAAATCAGAAAATCGAAATATTTCACAAACAGATGCAGTTAAAAGAATATGTAAACAAGAATTCCCTTTTTTCATTCTAAATTGATAAAAAATTGGGCAGATATAATATCATTAAATGTTCTTAACTTACAAATAAAATACAATATATGTTTTGTACCCCTTGCAGTTTGTACCTATTGTATTTTTTATCCAGTCAAGGGTAGTATAGAATAGAAGAGAATCGCGTAATTTGAACCAATTTTAGACAAAACCCAATAAAATGCAAAATATTTCGTTTTCAAATAAAAAAATCATTGGTATTACGATTATCCTTTATTGTATAGGTCTCTTTAAGATGCCACTTTAATTCAACCTTTAGTGAGAGCCCAAATTAAACCATAAAAATATAACTTTGCTAAAAAACTTACAAATCTAATTTTTTTTTTTTTTTTCAAATAACATCATAAGTATTACAGTTATGTATTTAGGATATTACTGTAATAATTGAACTTTAAGTGGTAGCATAAATTGAAATAAAATTGAAAAAGAAACTTACAAATCAACTCCAATCAATTAATCTAAAATGAACCAGTACGTTTAAGAAACACTTTCTGAAAGTTTTTCTTGTTTTGAAATTTAAAATTAGATCTCTTTATCATGTAGTGGTACTGTTTCTTTTTTTTATTTTTATGATAAATTATTAAAAAGTTTCTTAAATATAGGTCCTAAACCATGACCTTGTTGAAATAAAAACAGTGAGATTGATAAAAAAAAATCAATATCATACTTAATTTTTATCATTAAAATGCTATCATATTATGCATATATCACAGAAATATTTTGCATATATTTAAAAGTGCCATTCCCATTTCAATTTATCCATTATTTGTGGTACTTATTTAGTGTTATATTGGGCCTCTAAAACTGTCATTATTTCACCTAAAAAATATTTAGTTTTAGAACTGTTCATTTTAAATAAATATCTTGGTACATACTTAAATACTCAAAAGCATACAGTGGTATCTTTATCTTTGTTGGATACGAGCAGGTATGGTTTGATTTGGCCCAAAACAGTGCGGCCTATTGGCTCTATTATTTTCCCCTGCTTTTATTTTAATTTAATCAACTAGTTGAAATCTATTTACTTATTACTGTTACGCCAATGGTATGCGCGCTTCTCATTTCTTACAGTCATTATAACAAAGTTTTTTACTCGTTTATATTCATCCCAATCATCTGGATCTCTTGTCTGCTTAAATTTACTCAGTAACTTGTTTCTATCTCCCTTTAGTTTACGTAATCTATCTGACAACCACGGTGCTTTTGGTTTCGTGATTTGTACTCTACGATATGAAGCATGTTGATCAAACAAATATTTAATATTATTAGTTAATATGTCAACTTTCCTATCGATCTCAGTGAAATAAAAAATTTGATTCCAATTTAGGGCACTTTTGTAATCAAGTTTCAAAATGTAAGTTGATGATCAGTAACAGAATGCAGATCAACATGCTTAACATCATTTATAATTAAATCAGGGTTAGTAATACAGACAATATCCAATAGAGTGGATGATGTTTTTGTTATTCGCATGGGTTTATTTACCAGTTGTCTCAGACCGAAAGATTCTGACATGTCACTAAAAATATCTGTTGTGTTATTAGAGTTATTAGCTCAAGTTCTTTTCTTACAACAGAGCATTCGACAACAATACTTGCCTTTATGATTGTTTTAATAAATATTCCTACACCTCCCCCTCTCTTATTATTACCGCTATCAATTCTCAAAAATGCATAACCTTTTACCTTAATAATATCATTAGCTACTTCATCGTTCAATCATGTTTCTGGTATACCTAAAACGTCCAGGTCATATTTATGTAATAGACATTTGATATCATAAACAACAGGGATCAAGGACCGTACATTAACATGACCAATATTAAAAATTTTAGAATAGCCATTTCAAATAAAAGATTAGATTCTAACTTCTACAGAACAAATTAATGACAAAAATATAAAATATTAGGATAGAATCGATTTGTCGGGAATGTTTTATTATTATAAACCTGTCCTCTTCATCTTTCCTAGCATTCCATTCCATTCTTATACCATACAAATCTATAGTTATGTTTTTTAAGAATTTTGGCTTTATTATACAACATCCGGACACTCTTTGGTATATTAATGTATATTATTTTGCTTTCACCATCAATTCACATTCCAGTGTATCTAATTTTATCATTTTCTTCAATTCCAATAATTTATCTCTGATTGACTTTTCTTTCAATTTAACTAGTACTGGTTTTCTAGATTCCTTACTTGGCAATGTTTGTATTCCATATTCACTATTTTTAATTTCAAACCTAATTTTTTTAAATACTTTTTTAATATCATCTTTAACTGGATTTCCACCGCACAAACCAAATATAATAACATTTTTCCCCTTCTGATCTACTTCCTCTTTTTCGGCAAAATGATTGAATTTCTCAATCTTCCTTTCAAGTTCTTCAACTCTATTTTTTAGGACTTTTTGTTCCTTTCTTAACACTGCCTTATCTTTAGACATGTTTTCTAATTTTTTATGAATGTCATCCATCCCTTCTAAATTAAGTTGTACAGATTGCTCCAACTCAGAGAACCTCTTCTTAAGATACTGCATAATCTCCTTATTAGAAGGATTAGAGCTATTAAGGACATTATCTTCGTGTTTCTTTACAATACTCTTCTTTTTGGTCTTTCTCTTTTTTGGTGCTATATCTTCAGATACTGGTTCCGAATTACTTTCGTCCTGACTGGAGTCACTTTCCGAAGACGACGATACGCAATCATAGCATAACCATTTCTTATTAGACTTTCTATCACTGTAAATTTTATAATCTTCATTTGATAATCTAGTGCACTTTTTATGAAACCACTCTTTACAATTTCCGTTGCATCTTAGAGAGCTTTGAGTCTTTGTTATGTTACTTTTACAACCTTTGCATTTGACTTGTTTCTTTTTTACCATTTTTTTCCTACGTTAGACACAAGATTCTTCAAAATGACCTTTGGTCGAATACATACACCTACACACTATCACAAAGAAAAATATGGGTTCTGTTCATGAAACATTTTTAATTTTTTGTTATGTCCCTAAATTTTTTTTCTTTAATTTTAACAAACTGTGTGAGTGCACCAGAAGATGGAATTTAATTCCGAAACATATGTAGTGCTGAATTGACTGATCATACCAAATACATTTTATTGTTTATTGCTTATTGTTAATAAAATAAAATATTACATTGAGTGTAGGAAATCCTTTTGATGAAACAAAGTTACAAAATTACCTTTTTAATAGCCTTCATAATTTTTATTTATTTTTTTGTCTATATTTCAAATGAAAATACAAAATTAAGTTGAATACCTTACCTGCAAATAAACTTTTAATTTTCAAAAGACATAAAGGATGTCTCAAAAAATTATACCATTTCTTTTATGTTGTATAAATATGTTTCGAGAAGACCAAATATATGAACCATTCATATTATAGTAAATGCTAGTACCATTACACTTACTTGGACTTACAGATACATTTAGAAAGCTGTTGGCAACAAGTTTACAGGTTCCTTTGTTAAACCTGAAATGTAAAATGTAAACAATGTAAAAAATGATTTTCGACGAGTAAAACACTATACTTTTTCTACGAACTCTATTATGTCATGTAGGTACCTACTAAAATGAAAAAAAAAAAAAAAACAAACGTTAGCAAATGCTTTATTTTGTGTTAGGAATAACAAAAAATTAACCAACAATTAAATATTTCAGAAATATTATTTATTATTTAAATATTGATTTATTGTTATATTTGAACAATTGTTCAAAATTATGGGGGTATCACACTCAAGCTTTTTATTTATTGAGGTAGATGCCGACATATTTGTTCTACTGTTAAATGTCATTTCAGATGATGATGCGCCATAATCGGATGAACTAGTAGTTTCCTTATTTTGTACAGATTGTAAAATTTTGGTTTGTATTTGGTTTTTACTGTTCGTGGATTCATCAACATATCCTTCCGCAACACTACTAGATTTCCAACCACCGTGCTTTTTTAACAGAAGCAAGTCACCTCCTGCATCCACTAATAGCATTGCGGATGTTCTGCGGAAACAGTGCCCAGTGTAATCTTGAGGATTCGGAAGCGTTAAAAACTGAGCAATTTCGTTAGGAAATTTACTGATTTTATTAATTCCAACAACCTGTCTGCTACACTTTCCATTCTGATAGTTAATAAAGAATCTTGAATTAATTTGACCCATGTTTGCGGGACGTAGGCTCATATATTTTTTAGAAATATCATAAAAGGGTCCAGAAATATTAAAAGAACGCGGAAATTTTGTTTTTGTATTACGGATTTTAACTAACAGAATACTTCCAGTATCCTTTACATCGCTTATTGTTAAATCTTTTAGTTCGTAGCAACGACAAGCGCCAGATAATCCAAAAACTAATGCTACCTACAAATATTAGTAGTTATGTATTAAGTATTTGTTAAAATAAAAATAATAATTCCGTTACCTTTGTTATTAAATATTTATAGTCAGGTGCATTCTTTAGGAAAGTCTTTATGTCTTCAGGAGAAAAATTTTTGGATTTTTGGCTTTTAAAACCATCAGATTTTCTTTTCAAAAGCGAATGTAACTTTGGATATTTACTAATATCGACATCATTTTTAACAGAGAGTGTAGTTCTTAGCATCGAATAAATGGACCATAACGTCGACGGTTTAAAATTTGAACATATTTCTCCAAAGTATGCTAGTAGTACAGTTTCCGAAAATGATTTCACTTTATTTTTTTCTCTCCAGTCCAAAAATTTTATATAAATTTCTTCATATCTCTTTTTTGATTTGGCCGGTAATAAATCTGAAGAGGTTTCTTCAGCTTTAAAAATAATTTCTGGGGGAGTACAATCGCTTTCTGACTCGGACATCATGAAAATGTGTTAAATTTAGGAGGAACTGAAACTGACAGTTCTCAAAAGTGATAAAACTTCAAATAAACAAATGAAAATCAGGAAACTAGATGTAGATTGGTTTAATTTGCACTATTTTTATACATTTTTATTTTATCTTTAATTCATTAAAGTTTAGGTAAAAACGCATATAGAATTTAATGAGCATCTTTTTATTTCATTATTAATAATTATAAGCTGCCAAAATATTATACGAGGCGACTGATATATGAAAATATCTAACAACTTACTTTCGTCACTAGAGACGAAAGTAAACGTTATGGGATTTTTTCTCACTAGTGACGGAAATCAAGTTTTCGCTGAAAGTATCCTGTGGCGAAAGATGTCTTTTTGTAAGAGTTCGTAGAAAAAATATTTTTTTGGTTGACATTTAGCGTTTAGTCGATGCTTGGAAAATGCGACTTTTCAATTCTCTCCTCCTAGTTTAAAAACCACATAATATACTGAATCAGTCTTCATAAAAATTGTATTTGGAATCTCGTTCTAAATATTGGTCTTTTCCGAGGTCTTTGCTATTTTGATTGAGTAATCTTTATCCCCAGAAACGCGTAAATTCAAAGACCCAAAAAAGATTAAACAAATATATATTTTGAATCATTGTTCGCTCATAATTTTTGTTTAATCAAATAACGAGAGTCCAATGTATGTTTGGTACAAAAATTATATTTAGATTCACATGTCAAATGTGTTTTACCACCGTCTTTCTCCAAGATTTTCTTGTTCCACATATTCATTTAAATTTAATTAATACATTTTTTCCAATACATACACTAATTTGTATTTATTTGTAAACTTTTATGATAAAATCCGCCCGGTTTGCTAGCTTCAGCCTCATTTTTCTCAATATCAATTAAAATATCTCAATTAATAAAAAAGTAACACATGATTGATCCTAATCTACAAATCTTAAATAAATTTGATGAATTTTAGCGCGAAAAGAAATCCACATCTTCATTTAAAACCGCAATCACGAGAAAGCCTGCCAAATGGGGAGGAATTAGATTTGGAAGTTCTAAAAAAGATTTCAAAGTCAGTTCAACGCAAGATATTCAAAACTGTTGCCGTTGTACTTGCTACCATCGTACTAATGAGATTAGCACAAGCCAAAATATGGTAGAAACAAGTGATAATAATACGGAAGAACAAGAAGATACATTAAATAAAATCGAACCGATAGTTCAAGTTGTCGAAGGAACCGATTCGAGGGAAGAGGAGGAAGAGGTTAGTTCCAGTGATCGAAGCGTCGCTGAAGTGGAAGGTGTCAGAGGTATATATGGAACTGCGCCTGTCACTAGTTCAATTCCAAATATAATAATTAGTGCACCCTTTATCGATATGCAGTGGTGAGTAAAATTACTTTGCTAGACAAAGAAATTAAATAAAAACATTGTATAATTTTATAGGACGCGGACGCCCCATGAAGATATGGAAGAAGCCGCACGACAAGCACGGGCAAGGGAAATCGAAGAGGGCGTCGTCGCTCCTGCCAATTTCCGATTTATCCGAAGGGTGCAGTTGCTTTGTTCCGATACGGAGGCAGAATCTCAAGCGCCCAGGAGGTTGCAGTTGGTTTGCCCTCCGGATTTGAACGTGGAATCGTTGAGAGCTTTATTTCAGAATCACGTTACCGTTCGATCGTGCCCCTTAGATACGATTGCTGGATGCCACACTCAAGTCGATTTTATACACTGTTTAGTGCCTGATTTACTTAAAATTACAAATTGCAGTTTTTACTGGGGTAAGTTAATGTTATTTTGTTTACGCTCTTTCTCTCTTTGACTTCAAATAATCTTATGAGCAGATCAACCATGGATTGCTCTGGTTTTTACATAAACGTCAAAATAACAACTAACATTGGTGCTACACTTTTGGAGTGAGAGCAAACATGTGCAACCATAGTTATTGTTAAGAGGAGAACCGTTTTAAAACGTATGGTTAAATGCAACTAATTGCTTCTATTTTGACGAAATTTTTGTTACTTTGTTTTCACTCCAAAATGTGTTTGTTGTTATTTTATCTATTTAGTCTAAAATAATCCACTCTTTTGTGGGGAGTCTAAGAACTAGGCGTAGCCTAGTTCTTAGACTATGTGGATTTGGTTTGTTGTTTTTAATTTGGTTTAAAAAATACACTGAATTTGAATGATTGTTAAGTACTCAATAGTTTGTGACTCGTCAGTATCTGATTCGAGAATAATCATCTTTTCAACACTTAAACATTGGTAAAAGCGAGAATCCAAAAGATGTTTTTGTGCAAGTCTTAATAATCAAAATTTTATGATGGCTGCGGTCGAATGATCACATTTCGTTGGTACCAACTTTAAAATAATTTACGTCAGTTCTCTCTTCGACTTCAAACAATCTTATGAGCAGAGCGGAATGGGAAATTTGCATTATTCAATATTTGAACTCTATTTCTCTCAAAATGTATTTTAAAATAACTGACTGTTAGAGTGGAATAAAACTATATTTAGATGATAGGGCGACAAGACCAAATGTGACAAATTTTGTTAGAAATGATAAATTATTTGTTTTTTTAAATGTATTTTTAGCACAAGAAATGTATATGTGTAATTTTTTTAACAATATATGTTTTTATTTTTATTCTTCAGGAAAAATGGACAGATATGAAGCAGAAAGGTTACTAGATGGAAAACCAGAAGGCACATTCCTACTTCGAGATTCCGCACAAGAGGAATTCCTATTCAGCGTTTCATTCCGAAAATACGAAAGATCTCTGCATGCTAGAATCGAACAGTGGAACCACAGATTCAGCTTCGACTCGCACGATCCGGGCGTGTACACCTCAGACACGGTGTACGGTTTAATCGAACATTACAAAGATCCGAGCAGCTGCATGTTCTTCGAGCCTTTACTCACCTGGCCTTTGAACAGAAAATTCACATTTTCGCTGCAGCATCTATCGCGAGCTGTAATAGTAAGTCGATTGACCTACGACGACATCAATCAGTTACAGTTACCTAAGAGTTTGAAAACGTACCTCAAGGAGTACCATTACAGGCAGAAGGTCAGAGTTGAACGATTCGACGACGATATGCAATGGTTGGAAGTTCGGAATGTGCCCTCCTGATCCGAGATGAGACTGCGTCAGTTCCGCGCCATTATAGCGGGCAATTATTATTTCCAAGCGTGATAAATGTGTTTTGAATATAAGCTAATGTGCATTTCAGTCGTTCGGCTTTCCGGATATTGAAATGTACATTACCTTGTATTTAAATTTACATACAGATTAAGAAAAAGGTATGAGAGCCATAGGATATAGACACTGTGAGGGAACAGCCATCTCTATACTCCTGCGAGCAGTGAGAGCTCAAAGAAAGTTCTAATTTAGTAATGCATAAACTGTTGTGGGGTATTGTTCTCTCTAACTAAATAAAGACATCATTTACGCAATTGCCTTGATTCTAGGATTAGAAATTATTTGGAAGTAAAAAATAACTTGATTTTGAATTAAATCTAAATATTTTTGATGGTTAAGTTTACGATCAATGAAAAAGGGCAAATAATGTTTCCCCCCTTAAAATACCATTGCAAACATTTAATTTATGAGGATACTATGTGCATGTCGCAATACTTAAAATGTTTATTTTCCCGAGAACAGTGTCTCACTACGGATGGATTGTTTGTTATTCAATGAAAAAGTTGACTCGTCAGTAAATAAAATATTTTTTAAAATATATTACTTATTGTGATGAGTATATTTATTGTACATGTTTACTGATTCAATTACGATGCTCTCCGATGTGTGACGAACATTGGCGTGCAATTACTAGAGATGAGCGTACCTACGTCGTATGGTTCGTAAACTTTTTTTCCTAATCTGTATATTGGACTGAATTTGTGTATGGTACTAGAAGCGGTTGTTTGGTGTTTAAAAACAATTTGGTGTTTCTACTATAACATGATTCTCTAAATTAAAACAAGAATATGAAATTATTCAGAATGACTTTTTTACAGTGGAACTACTTGATATGGTCTCATCCATTTTCACTTTAATTGTAATAAATACATATGAATAAATATAAAATCTTGGGATTTGCCTGCCTCGGTTGACGCCAAAGAAACATTAAAAACAAATATACAGGGTGATTATTTAATCCATGAAAATTGTGGAGGTTAGATTATTTGAGTCGACATTTCGTGAAATGAGAATAAATATTGGTTTATTATTTAATTGTGGAAATGTTTATACACTTAAATTACCAAATAAAAATTAACGAGTAGTAATAAAAATCCTAATCAAGTAATAAGCGTGCTAATTTGAATTTAAAAACACTAAACATTATCTGATAAAATACAACTTCAAGCCTTCCTGTGTACCAAATCCCACACCAAGACACATATGTGGGAATCAGGACGTTTATTCTACGCAATTATTCAACTTTTAATTCCTTGATGTAATACATCTACAACAAGGTTTAACTTTGATAGTTAATCGATCCTCAGACTGCTAAATATTCGCTCTCTAAACAAACATATATTCTGTTTTTTTTTACGAGCCCCTTACAAGAGATATAAGTTAAACTTTCAAATAATTATTTTTTAAATTTGAAAAATTACTTTTTCATAGTATTAAAAATTAGTTTTAATTATATGAAATTCTAGCAACATAAAAGGAATTGATTGATAATGCTCCACTGTGTGCTGGAGCTTGTTTTCAAAAATGGGCTGTCTCGAATAATTCAAAATTGATTTTCAAAAATTATACTTATAATTTAAGAAAAGGTAGAAATGTAAAGATTATTTAGATTTTTTCAATGATATTAAAAAACTTACCGCTTTATTGCAGTCTAGACACTTAACCCTAGTGTTCGAGTCAACGATTGATTCAGAATAGAAGGTAGATTGAGTCCACTTTTAGCGGTAACCACGAGTTGTATAGACGGACTTAATTTGTATTTAAATTGGCTTCTAGACAACACACGGCTAGGGGGTTAAGTTCAGAAGGAACCCTAACTTTCAGACGATGATTGAGAGGACGGGGAAAGGGTTTGCCCTACAGGAACTAATCCCTTTAGCATTTTTCTCTCTCTCAGAGATCGGATTAAGCCAATACCCCCGCCTCTGAATGATCGTAAGTTTTCCTAAACCAAAGAAAATTAAAACAAGCGTAAAACAAATAACTGTGGTTTATTTAACAAATCAAAACAACTAATATTGCTTCCGCAATCACGTTGTCTTTACTGACTACACAATAACTAAATATAACTACTTAAAACTATATACTTACATAAGCATTGTATTCTATCTGTTGGGGTGCAAGGCTGGCGGAAGCACACGTTACTTTTATCATTGTGGTTCTACAAAAAAAAACTAATCGCGACCCGTGACTCTACTTTCGGACACAAAAAAGAAATCTCCTTAATTCGAATAATTTCGACCGCTCGTCAACGAAGACCAAAAGGAACTCCCCGAATATTCACTTGTAATGTTTCAAGAGTGCTCTTGTTGATCTTTCTTGACCCTGTACTTTAATATTATGACAAAACCTTGTCCAACTACACGTTTTATTATTTTACTGAATATTTGTTTAGTGCGCCTGCCCTTGGACAAAACTTTACAAATCCTAATATACCTATTCACAGGGTGTTATTTTAATTCGTAACAATATCGCATGTAGTAATGTTACTGGGATACAAGAAATAGCTTTAAGTTACGCCAGTCACAAAGGTTTTGGCGCTAGGTCGCACAATTTTTGACAATGACAACTGATTTGTGCATTTCGTGTTTAATTCCATGTTTCGTATTCGTTAATTAATGCAAATGGCACTCATATGTCAAATTATATTTTTTTAAACGTCATTTTAATATCTACATCCAATGCATTTTTTACATCTCGAGCATTGTATATATACCAAACCTTTACTGGCAACTCATTTGTTTGGAATTCCTAATAGTCTTAAATTTCAATTGACATTGGCGACATGATTTGTATGGCGTCATTCTTAATAATTTCGTTTTTTTTTTAACTAGCATTAAAATGTACACTCTGTAAATATTTATAGTTTCTTAATGTTATTTTGTTATTACAAGCGATGCCGGTCATCTCAAAGTACACACCAAAGCTCGTTTACTGTAATAGTACCTATACAAACGGCCAGTTGTGTAATAATAGTATTTCAACCCAGTGTTAACTAAAATGAACTCTTTTGCAGCCTATAATCTACGAAAATAAAAATAAGACACGTGTTTCTAAGTGAAGTGTGCATACTAGGTGTTTCTTTAAAAATAATAGGAAATTGAGGCTGATTTCGACTACATTAATTCAAAAATATTCACATTTAGAGCAAAAACAGGTTCTAAAAAAAGGTATTTCGTGCGTCGAGTACTTTTATAAAGTATTTGAGGTAATTATATTTAATTTTCAATTCAATAAAATGTATTTCAGGCAAAGTAAAATTCTGAATTTCACAATTTCGGCGAAATCAAAGTTTAACATTAATTTTATAGGTAATCTTTAATTTAACCCAGATACTTAGTATACTATCACAAAAACAAAACAATTCAATATGTGTGCCTTGTCTACATTGTCTAGCGTTAGTGAATTAGGAAATTCAACTTAAAAAAATTAATTTTAAATGAAATTTCGTCTAGATTTAATCAGTATTATGTAACGGTTGAATATTTATGAAAATTGAATGGATATATTGCAATTTTGTCTGTCTAGTGTGACTTAATTTTGTGAAGCTAAATAATATGGGAGAATAATAATTATTTTGTTCTTCGAAGCTTGAATGTTAATTTTTATTTACAATTAACAGAAAAAACTAGGACTTGTTTTACAAGCAACACTCTCAAAATTAAATAATTGAGCTGTATGTACAGATTTAGGCTCTTATACATCACAAAACAAATTTAAATATAAACCCCAAGGCAAAATTAACTCCACTGCTTATATTATATAATAGTGATGGGACTTTTTATGAAAAGTAATTTTTGCACTAGTCCTTAAAGGAATGAAAAGTCGAAATGAAAATAGTCGACCTTGAGCATAAAAGACACTGTTAAATCTCCATCCTGGATGTTGTTTTTTGAAAACCACTTTGCATTTTTATTTCCGTCTTTTTTTTTTTTCAAAATACTTCCAACCTTTGGATTTTTTGGGAATTGAACTAATTTAACACCTGGCGACAAACTCAACTCTTGGGGTTAATTGTTCAGTCCCTTGATATATTTAATTTACTATTATGTTTCAATCATTAATTGATCAATTTGAGAGAGATTCATTATATAATTATAAATAAAAATTACTGTAGAAATTTTCTAATCGTTGTCCAGCAGTTTTAATTGTATGTTGATTATGAATCACTCACTGACGTTTTGTAAATAATACACTGCTTACCATGTGAATTTGAAATTTAATTTGTTCGTGTTTTTTACGTTCCAAGAATATTTTTATGTTAGGTCAAAATGTCTATAATACTATTATATAAATATCTTTTTTTTTTTAATAATAAAAGTTGTAAATAAATTGTACATGTTAATATCGAAGCTTTAAGTATTAGAATGCTGTATTCGCAAGTGTTTTATTTTATTTTAGAAAATTAGTTGTAATCAGAATTCTTGTTTTATATTTTCATTTCTTGTATACCATAAAATATGAATAAAGTGATTTTGTTGTATATATTATTTTGCTGCTTCATTTTTGTTCTGTTTTTGTTATTATACAGGGTGTTCCGACTTTTGTCATGTCAATATGGAATTAGGCATTCCAAACAAAATGTAGGTATAATTATTATGTTCAAAGACTAGTATTCGTTCGACTATCGGAGAGTGTAATTTAATATTTCAAAAGACTGCTCGGAATCTAGGTTAAGATCAATCGCGTATGTTTACATATGTGCTAAATAGTGATTGTTTAAAAAAAAGATGGCTAGTAATAACAGATCTAATCAAACTGAAAACGAATCTTTAACGAACCAAATAATGACTATGCGTAATACAATTCTAGACAGATTAGAGGAAACCACCTTCCCCCAAACGTCTAGACCAGTGTTGCCGTTTCGGTACAATTGTACTGAATTCAGTACAAAAAAGGTTCATTCAGTATGTAAGTACTATATTTTAAAAACTATCCCATTTTCAGTACGAAATTGAATTGAATACCAAGACATAATACAATACTATACGAACCGAAATAAAATACGAATACATAAATTTGAATTTAATCTAACAGACGTGTTTGGTTCAATTCCAGTTAAAACTATTCTACATTTACATTCAAATTAATAGATGTGTCATCACCACTGTCATTTTTTGACGTTTACAATAACAGACCATTTTTGACAGACTGGTTT